GCAGGAATATTACCCTATTTCCTTTTTCTTTTATTTTTTATAGAGGCGGGGTCTTACTGTGTTGCCCAGACTAGTCTGGAACTCCTCGGCTCAAGCAATCTTCCCGCCTCAACCTCCTAAAGTTCTGGGAGTGCAGGCATGGGCTACTGCGCCCAGCCTACTTCTTATTTATGACTTGGGCCTGATTATGTAGGAGTGCTCCGGTGAGTAACTGGGATAGCGCATGCTGAGAACTCGTATGTACTGAACCCTCCCACAGCGGCTGTCACCATCGTGAACAATGAACACTCACAGCACCTTCAGCCCCCCAGGGCCCATCTTGTGTCTTGAACATATTTGATGCTGGGTGCCTGCATGCTGAATGAGGGGCTGAGAGTGTTGGGTGTGGGTTTTCACTCCTTCCTCCCTGCTCCCCAAGGTCTCATAAGCATGTCTAGCTGTGTAATACACCCATACATTTTTTTTCTTTAGATGCAGAGTTTTGCTCTTTTGCCCAGGCTGGAGTGCAGTGGCACGATCTCAGCTCACTACAACCTCCACTTGCCAGGTTCAAGCAATTCTCCTGCCTCAGCCTCTTGAGTACCTGGGATTACAGGCCCCTGCCACCATGCCCAGCTAATTTTTGTGTTTTTAGTAGAGATGGAGTTTCACTGTGTTGGCTAGACTGGTCATGAACTCTTAACCTCAAGTGATCCACCCACCTGGGCCTCCCAAAGTGCTAGGATTACAGGCGTGAGCCACCGCGCCTGGCCACACCCATACATTTTACCATGAACCTTCATATTTACAGGACAACCTCATCTGTGAGGCAACATAGCCTGCCAGGAAAAAATAAAGAATGATATGGAACATGACACCTTGCAGCCTTAGACAGGTTATCCTACCTCTCTGTGCCTCAGTTTCTCTGACTTAATGTAAGCTAATTCCTTGAGCCTGTTAGGGCTGTAGAGATGAAATAAGAGATAACACATGACAATGGCGTCCCAACATTGGTGCTCAACCAGTGCCCCTTGTTTAGAATGGCTGATCCTCCAGGAACCCCAGGCAGGCAGGTGAGACAGGCACTGAGGGCTGGGAAAGGTCAAGTCACAAGCCAAGAATGGCGATGCCCAGGATCAGAAAACTGGAAGGGCTGAGAGATGGCCTTGTGCAACACGCCTGAGTAAAGGAACAGGGGAGGCCAGGGGCTGCCTGCCTCAGACAGTCCAGCTGTGGTGGGGGGGGGTACTATCTCCCCACTTCTCCCTGATAACCTCAGTCCAAGATGCTGTGCATAGGAGGGACTGGATTTTAGTATGTTCATCTTCTCAATTACATAAGACCACAAACTCTTTCAGTAAAGAGACAGAAAGTAACTATTTAAGACTTTGCAGGTCATGTATGTTCTCTGTTTTATATCTTTGTTTTTGTTGTTTTTTGTTTTATACAATATCAAAAAAAAAAAAAAAAAAAAAAAAAAGGCCAGGCACGGTGGCTTACGCCTGTAATCCCAGCACTTTGGGAGGCCGAGGCAGGCGGATCACCTGAAATCAAGAGTTAGAGACAAGCCTGACCAACATGGTGAAACTCCATCTCTCCTAAAAATACAAAATTAGCCAGGCATGGTGGCATATGCCTGTAATCCCAGCTACTTGGGATGCAGAGGCAGGAGAATCTCTTGAACCCGGGAGGCAGATATTGCAGTGAGTCGAGATCATCCCATTGCACTTCTGCCTGGGCAATAAGAGCGACACTACGTCTCAAAAAAAAAAAAAGGTCTAAAAAAATCTAAAAGCCATCTTGGTACACAAACTACACAGAAAGGAGCTGCAGCTGGATTTGACCGCCTGGCTCCCTGACATGTCTTGGCACCCCGACATGTCTTGGCACCCCTGAAGCACTCAAGGAGCTTCCTTGCTTCATCCCCTGGAGGAAAGCCAGGCCTGGCCATGGCGCTGTTATGATGTGGCTCCCAGAGCGTTTCCCAGGCCGGCAGCCTGAGAGCCATGGAGTCGCTGGGTGCAGCACTGCCCTGCCCCATGTGCATGGAGCTGCTCACATCACCTACACTGCTCCTCTCCCGCTCCCACAACTTCTGCAAACAGTACCTGGAGCTGATCTTCACTGGCCAGGATTGTACCCAGATCGGGGAATGGTTCTGCTGTCCAGTGTGTAGGGAAGTAAAAGGAAAATTGGGGCCATTTCACTCCACGAGGGAACAGACTTCTTTGTGGTCTGTACTCTTCGGACCCTGGCCAATAAGAAAACTGGAGATGTTAGGCCCCAAAATGAAGACCAGCAAGACAGACCCACATCTATGAAGGGCTGTGGGAGGGAGCAGGGAGGGGGGACAGACTTCTCCTTTAGGCTTAGAAGACCCATCAGGACCCATGGGGAGGAGCTACAGGAAGATATACATTGTGGTCTAAGGTTGGAGAGAATGTTCTCACAGAACAGCTTGCTTGGTATGTGCTGGGGTAGAGGTATTTATTAGCACTTGCTAGGTGCCTTGTCACTGTGGTAGAAGACCAGAGAAGCAGAGCTGATGAGGGTTCAGGCTTTGTCATTCAAGGAGAGATAGACCACACATATGATGGGAGACCTCACAGTGCAGGTCTGCAGTGTGCCATAGGGGATGGGAAGGACACAGGGGAGGTGCTACTGGGTAGAATCTACAGTGGGATAGACGCTGATGGGGAGAGCAATTGTGGAAGAGAGAGTGGCAGATATCAAGGCCCGAGAAAGAGGGCCTAGGAAAGGAGGTGCTTCAGGGCCTGGCCCAGAGATCAGCGAGGCTTGAGTGTAAGGTGCTGTGGGACACATCTGGGGATTTAGGGTACCACCACCAGAAGGGTAGGTAGGACATATTCCAGGATGCCCTACACATCATGCAAAGGGCTTTGCATTTTATCCTGTGAATACAAAAGGGACTAGTGACACATTTTAACCTGGAAAGGGTCATCATAACATTGACTTCTAAAAGAACAACATCACATGCTCTCATGGAAACGCCTTGTGTAATATTTCCCCAGCTGGACTGTAGAAATCATGACTGGTGTTGCGCCACACCCTTTGGATATTCATGGAAGAAAGGAAGAAAATCTAGAAGGAAGAGGTTGCAGGCAGAGGAATCCTGAGGGGCTGGAGGGCACTGAGGGAGACAGGCACAGCTCTCCCAGTCCGTCATCAACTGGCTCTTGGGGGAGGGGTGCCGTGAGGTAACTGCAGAGACAATGCAGCAGCTCAAAAGCACCAGACATTTGGATGGATCATTCTATTTTTCAACCTGGAATTCTTACTTACTTGTATATTTATTTTTAAATCATATCAAAGAAATAATGTAGAAAAGAGTTTATAACGAAAAGCAGTGCCGTCCTACCCCTAGTCCCACTCTCCAGAGGCGATCTTTTCCAACTTTTTTTTTTTTTTTTTTTTTTGAGACAGAGTCTCGCTCTGTCTCCTGGGCTGGAGTACAATGGCACGGTTTTAAATTTTAAGGTGATTATGATGAGACAGAAATGAGGAATGCGTAATTGGAAACTGGAATCCTTGCAAAGGACTTGCCCAAATTGCATTCCAGTGTTTTGTGGACTACAGAACTTGTGAGTGAGGCAGTGCAGGATATTCAGGTGATATTTCTACACAAAGCGATGAAGCATAGCCTGTTTTCTCCTTTCTGTTAATAGGAAAATGTGAGAGGAGAAAGATAAATGGAAGGAACGCTTAAGCAAAAAAGAACTAGTACTTAAAGATTTGAAAAATTCTCAGCCTGTTCACATTGCAAAAAATGAGAAAGTATGTTCTCAAAAGAACACTAGGGTGTGGCTGGACAATCACATGATAAAGAGTTTAGTGCAGGTCTGAATGGAACCGATGAACCATCTCACTAGAAACGCTCCCAGCTTGAACTGAATAGAGAAAGAGACAGGACAAAATGAAGGCAGGCTGTTGGACTGGGATTCCACAGGAAGGTACAATAGAGCTATCCAGCTGCAAACATAAGTTAATCTTCAAGAAAAGGGAAGAATGTGATTCTCAAAGGTTCTAATGAGCCCAGAGCGTACAGGTCTAGAGGGCAAGCGTGTCTCCTCCTCAATTTCAGTGGGCCAGGAGCCGCTGCCCAGGGCTAAGGGAGCAACGCTGCAGCTCCCGTGAGCCCACAAAGCAGGGGTGCGAATCCAGCTGGCCCAGAGGGCAGAGCATTGAGCCAAAGGAGATTATTCTCAAGACTGACAATCTAATGGAAGTTGCCTTGCCAGGTTTGAGACGTGCTTGGGATCCATCATTCCTCATTTCTTTCTCATGTCTTGCTTTTGGAATGGGGAAGCCCAGCCTCTGCTTATCCCACCATTGTATAATATTTTGGAAGCAGATAATCCGTCTGGTTTCACAGGATCACAGTTGGAGAATTTTGCCTAAGGATGAACTGTACCTAAAGTCTCACTCACGCTTGATTTAGATGATATTTAAATGAGATTTTGGATCCAGAGTTGAGGTTGAATTGGGTAAACAATTTTGGGAGTGTTGGGATCATGTGAATGCATTTTGCATGTTAAGCAGACCTAAACTTTGGTAGTGGAGTGTCATAGACCAAATTTGGCTTCCCCAAAATTGTGGAAGTCCCAGCCCTGCAGTGTGACTGTATCTGGAGATGGGGCCTTGAAGAAGGTTATTAAGGTCAAATGAGGCATGTGACTATGGCCCTATTCAAAATGACTGGTATCCCTACAAGAAGAGGAACTCACACCAGAAAACCATCCACACAGAAAAAAGGCCATGTGAGGACATGGCCAGAGAGCAGCCATCCACAAGCCAAGCAGAGAGGCTTTAGCAGCAACCAAACCTACCAATACCTGGATCTGGGACTTCCAGCCTCTATAAATATGAAAATACATTTCTGTTGGTAAAGTCACCCAGCCTGGGGTACTTTGTGATGGAACCCCTAGCAAGCTAAGACAAATTGTGAATATAGAAAGTAAACCAAAAATCAACTATCTTATGATTGATGAAACAAAGCCACATTTTTTGTTTCTGTTCCATTTCAGGAAACTGAAGCATTTACTAGGATTTCTGCCAGCTTCACCCTGTCGAGGAAAGGAAAGGTCAGAAGACCTATTGTGGTAGGAGCTGATGGCCAGACTTGGTCCTCCTGTGTCTATGCAAGTGAGACTTCTGGCTAAAGCCACGCCCACACTCCTTGCAGACATAGGGCTTCTCCCCAGAATGGGTCCGCTGATGTCGGATGAGGGCAGATTTAAAGCCGAAGCCACGCCCACACTCATCACAAACGCAGGGCTTCTCTCCTGAGTGTGTCCTTTGGTCAGAGATAAGGTGTGACTTCTGACCAAGTCCTTGCCCACACATCCTGTCTACATAAAGCTCCTCCTCTGAGTGTGTCCTCTGGTGTCGGGTGAGGAGTGACTTAAAGCCAAAGGCACGCCCACACTCCAAGCACAGATAAGGCTTCTCCCCTGTGTGTGTCCTCTGATGTCTGATGAGGGTGACCTTCTGACCAAAGTCACACCCACAGTCAGGGCACAGGTAGGGCTTCTCCCCTGTGTGTGTCCTCTGGTGCCTGACGAGAGTGACCTTCTGGCCAAAGCTGTGCCCACACTCAGCATAGACATAAGGCTTCTCTCCTGAGTGTGTGACCTGATGACTAAGGAGGAGTGACTGCTGCCTGAAGCCACACCCACACTCAAGGCACAGGAAGGGCCTCTCACCAGTGTGTGAGCTCTGGTGCTGGAGGAGTGACGCTTTCTGGCAAAAGCCTCTCCCATACTGGGGACACACGAAGGGCTTCTCTTCCAAGTGTGTCCTCTGGTGTAGAATGAGGGCTATCTTCTGGCGGAAGCCTCGCCCACACTCCTGACATACAAAGGGCCTCTCCCCGGAGTGAACCCTCTTGTGATTAGTCAGAGAGGATGTATACCTGAAGTGTCGCCCACATTCCCTGCACACATATGGCTTCTCCCCTGAGTGCTTCCTCTGGTGTATGGAGAGCGAGGCCTTCTGACTCAACTGACGCCCGCACTCAGAACACAGGTACGGCTTCTCCCCGGTGTGCGTCCTCTGGTGCTTGATGAGGTCTGATCTCTTGCAAAAGCCTCTCCCACATTCAGGGCACACAAGATGCTTCTGGTGGCTCAACAGGCTTGACTTTTTGCTAAGTCCCAGTCTACAATTTCCACGTGTGACTGCTCCAGATTCTGAGGTGCCTACTCCCTTCAACATTGTGTCTGAGCCCCCAGGACTCATCCGCCGGGCCAGGCAAAGGTCTATTCCTCCTTCTCTGTTGTCTTCCACCCATTCTACTGGGTCACCTTGATGTGAGCTGAAGAATGTCCTAGAAATTCTGCTTGGCCTCTTTCGTAATGAGGTGTCAGCGACTTCTGTCTTCCCACTTTCTCCTTTTTCACTAGAGCAGCTTGGAGCTTCTAGTTGGAAGTCATTTCCTGCAGATGAGCTGGGGGAGATCTGTGTAGGACGACCACTTAGCGCATATTGTCTAAGGAGCTGCGAGCTAGAAAAGGCCACCAGGCGGGGAAGACTGGGCCGGAATTCTGTCCTAGGCTCTGCTAGAGAGAAAGTCTCGGTCAGAATCACCACAGTGCCTGTGGATTGTAATACCTGCCCAGCAGTTGTTCTTCAGATGTTCACAACAAAGACCTATCTTCCGTCCCACAAGGGCACTTTACATGCTCTATTGCTGCACAGAAAACCCATACTACAAACTAGTCCTATCAGCCAAATGAGAAAGTTCAAACAAGCATCACAGGCGGCTTCAGCTCTATACACTGCTGCAAGTAGCGTTACACATTCCTCTTCCTTTCCTGGGCACTGCTCCCTCGCTTTTGCTCCAACTCAAGCCTATTCAACCTTGCCTGAGAAACGTTTGGCCTCTTGCTGTTAACTCAAGAGCCAAGGATTTGGTGTCTGGGATGCAGTAACAGACTGATTACCATCTTGACGGAGCTATAAATAAGATCTAAGTATCTGGGCCGGGTGCGGTGGCTCATGCCTATAATCCCAGAAGTTTGGGAGGCTGAGGTGGGCGGATTATAAGGTCAGGAGTTCGAGACCAGCCTTGCCAATATAGTGAAACACTGTCTCTACTAAAAATACAAAAATCAGCTGGGCATGGTGGCATGTACCTGTAGTCCCAGCTACTCGGGAGGCTGAGGCAGGAGAATGCTTGAACCCGGGAGGCAGAGGTTGTGGTGAGTGGAGATCATGCCACTGCACTCCAGCCTGGGTGACAGAGCAAGACTCCGTCTCAGAAAAAGAAGTTCTAAGTATCTGAAGGGGAGCCATACTTTGGGCTTCCTTGACTGTGGTGACTCAGGTAAGGGGCAGCAATGAATCAGATAAGTTGTAGCAAGACATGCTGGTTCCTGTGTGGAATAGGCTTTAGGCCAGGGAGCTTCCATATCAGCCTGATGTGAGTCGTCTCCTGAACTGCAGTATGGACATTCTAAGTCCTCTTGAAGAAGAGGAATCCCTGATGCTGCCCTCCTGCAAACAAGGATGCTGCCCTCTAGGCTCTGGGCAGATTGCTGCCAAGTATGCTCCCCGAATAGCACTGCACAACACTGGTGCAATCTCAGCTCACTGCAACCTCTGCCTCCTGGGTTCAAGCAATTCTTGTGCCTCAGCCTCCCAAGTAGCTGGAACTAGAAGCGTGTGCCACCACGGCCAGCTAATTTTTGTATTTTTAGTAGAGACAGGGTTTCACCATGTTGACCAGGATTTTCTCGATCTGTTGATCTCGTGATCTGCCTCCCTCAGCTTCTCAAAGTGCTGGGATTACAGGCGTGAGCCACTGAGCCCAGCTGCAATCCAGGATTTTTAAAAAATCTGGAGAATTAAGAAGAAGCTCAGTGTTTGAAGGTTAATAATACATAACTTCTTATTAACACAAAGATGTTACAGGGATTATACATATTTTGGCTTAAGCATATTCTTTTTTTTTTTCCAATTTATTTATTTTATTGCATTTTAGGTTTTGGGGTACATGTGAAGAACATGCAAGATTGTTGCATAGGTATACACGTGGCAGTGTGATTTGCTGCCTTCCTCCCCATCACCTACATCTGGCATCTCTCCCCTTGCTATCTCTCCCCAACTCCCCACCCCCACCGTCCCTCCCCTATTTCCCCCCAACTGACCCCAGTGTGTAGTGCTCCCCTCCCTGTGTCCATGTGTTCTCGTTGTTCGACACCCACCTATGAGTGAGAACATGCAGTGTTTGATCTTCTGCTCTTCTGTCAGTTTGCTGAGAATGATGGTTTCCAGGTTCATCCATGTCCCCACCAAGGATACAAACTCATCATTTTTGATGGCTGCATAATATTCCATGGTGTATATGTGCCACATATTCCCTGTCCAGTCTATCATCGATGGGCATTTGGGTTGGTTCCAGGTCTTTGCTATTGTAAACAGTGCTGCAATGAACATTCGTGTGCACGTGTCCTTATAGTAGAACGATTTATAATCCTTTTGGATATATACCCAGTAATGGGATTGCTGGGTCAAATAGAATTTCTATTTCTAGGTCCTTGAGGAATCGCCACACTGATTTCCACAATGGTTGAACCAATTTATACTCCCACCAACAGTGTAAAAGTGTTCCTATTTCTCCACATCCTCTCCAGCATCTGTTGTCTCCAGATTTTTAAATGATCGCCATTCTAACTGGTGTGAGATAGTATCTCAATGTTGTTTTGATTTGCATTTCTCTGATGACCAGTGATGATGAGCATTTTTTCATATGTTTGTTGGCCTCATGTATGTCTTCTTTTGTAAAGTATCTGTTCATATCCTTTGCCCACTTTTGAATGGGCTTGTTAGTTTTTTCTTGTAAATCTGTTTTAGTTCTTTGTAAATTCTGGATATCAGCCCTTTGTCAGATGGGTAAACTGCAAAAATTTTTTCCCATTATGCTGGTTGCCGATTCACTCTAATGACTGTTTCTTTTGCTGTGCAGAAGCTGTGGAGTTTGATTAGGTCCCATTTGTCTATTTTGGCTTTTGTTGTCAATGCTTTTGGTGTTTTGGTCATGAAGTCCTTGCCTACACCTATGTCCTGAATGGTTTTGCCTAGATTTTCTTCTCGGGTTTTTATGGTGTTAGGTCTTATGTTTAAGTCTTTAATCCATCTGGAGTTATTTTTAGTGTAAGGTGTCAGGAAAGGGTCCAGTTTCTGCTTTCTGCACATGGCTAGCCAGTTTTCCCAACACCATTTATTGAACAGGGAATCCTTTCCCCATTGCTTGTTTTTGTCTGGTTTGTCAAAGATCAGATGGTTGTAGATATGTTGTGTTGCCTCTGAGACCTCTGTTCTGTTCTATTGGTCTATATCTCTGTTTTGGTACCAGTACCATGCTGTTTTGATTACTGTAGCCTTGTAGTATAGTTTGAAGTCCAGTAGTGTGATGCCTCCCACTTTGTTCTTTTTGCTTAGAATTAACTTGGCTATGCAGGCTCTCTGTTGGTTCCATATGAAGTTTAAGGTGGTTTTTTCCAGTTCTGTGAAGAAGGTCATTGGTAGCTTGATGGGGATAGTGTTGCATCTGTAAATTACTTTGGGCAGTATGGCCATTTTCACGATATTGATTCTTCCTAACCATGAACATGGAATGTTTCTCCATCTGTTTGTGTCCTCTCTTATTTCGTTGAGCAGTGGCTTGGAGTTCTCCTTGAAGAGGTCCTTTACGTTCCTTGTTAGTTGTATTCCTAGGTATTTTATTCTCTTTGTGGCAACTGTGAATGGAAGTTCGTTCTTGATTTGGCTCTCTTTAAGGCTGTTATTGGTGTATAGGAATGCACATGATTTTTGCACATTGATTTTGTATCCTGAGACTTTGCTGAAGTTGCTTATCAGTTTCAGGAGCTTTTGGGCTGAGAGATGGGGTCTTCTAGATATACAATCATGTCATCTGCAAATAGAGACAATTTGACTTCCTCCTTTCCTATGGCTTAAGCATATTCTTATCCATGCACAAAAACTGTTAAAACTACAGAAATTCACTTTTTAAAAACATTTTGTTTCTAGGTTTAAATAAGCTACCAATTGGAGATAATGCTAATTCCCACCATGGTATAAATTAAAGACTCTGGAAATTGGCAGTGCTTTCAGCGTCTGTAAGTTCATACTATAACTCCTAGGTAATTTTTTTTTTTTTTTTTTTTTGATGTAGTTTTGATCTGTAACCTTGGCTAAAGTGAAGTGGTGCGTTCTTGGCTCACTGCAACCTCTGCCTCCCAGGTTCAGGCGATTCTCCTCCTTCAGCCTCCCAAGTAGCTGGGATTACTGATGTGTGCCACCATGCCCAGCTAATATTTGTATTTTTAGTGGATACGGGGTTTCACCATGTTGACCAGGCTGGTCTCGAGCTCCTGACCTCAAGTGATCCAACCACCTTGGTCTCCCAAAGTGCTGGGATTACAAGTGTGAGCGACTACGCTTTCCAGGACTGAATTCTTGTAAGTCATACAGGACACTCCTCAAAAGAGAAGTCTGCTTTCATCACCTCTGAAATTGTTTGCTGTAGTGAGTAAATATTCAGTAAGAGAAAAATAAGGCATTTTCTTATCCATGGTTAGTTTCTCTTTTTTACCTTACTTTTGCTTAAAGACTCCTGCTATAACTCAGATTAGAAATTGAGTCTCCTGGAACAACAAAAAAAATTTTTTTGAAAGGAAGTCTCACTCTGTTACCCAGGCTGGAGTGCAGTGGCATAATCTCAGCTTATCGCAACTTCTGCCACCCAGTTTCAAGCAATCCCCTCACCTCAGCCTCCCAAGTAGCTGAGGTTACAGGTGCATGCCACCATGCCTGGCTAATCTTTTGTATTTTTAGTAGAGACGGGGTCTCAGCATGTTGGCCATGTGATCCACCTACCTTGGCCTCCCAAAGTGCTGGGATTACAGGCGTGAGCCACCACACCCAGCCCCAGGAACAAATATTTAAGAGCACTGATCAGAAATGTACCTAGTAAGTAGAGAGCCGTAGCAAGAAACGGAATCAGGGTTTCAAGTGCCCTAACACAACAGAAGTGAACAATTTAATGGAAGTAAGCTACTTAACAGAAGACCCTTGGTTCAAGGCGGAGGATTATAAATAGAATACTGATATGTATGCTATTTCATTTGCTAACTACTTTTAATCACAGAATATGTATTTCTTATTTTTGATCATACTATTCCTAAGGCAGGCAGTGCCATGCAGCCTTTACCAGTGGTCTAGGAAGCCTGAAGAAGAAGAGCTTCCTCCTAACACCTCAAAGACAGCCCCTCCTTCCTTACCTACCGAGCTCCTCACTGCCCTGCACCCTTGCCTGCCCAGGGCTTCTCACTCACCTGGACAAAGGTCCAGAAGATGTTTGTTCTCCTCTCTCCAAGGTTCGTCCCCTCGCTCCAGCTGTGTGATGAGCTTTGGTTTGGAAAATGCAATTCCTACTCACAGAAAAAAAAAAGGTGATCTTGAGTTAGTGGCTTAGGAGGCTATCTCAAAACTCAGAGCCAACCCATGAATACAATAAGCCCAGAAGGCGGTAGGGAGTTGCAGAGGTGGAGTAAACAATGTCAGAATGCTGAGAAAGGATGAATAGAGGGAGGGGATCTAGATCTAAAGGCAATATACTGATTCTACCCTGTGCTGGAGTCAATCAATCAAAGTATTCCTCCATTTAAAGGAAGATAACCTTAGAGGAGGAGACCAGCCAGGGTAAACAGCCCTGAAAATGCAGTGTCAGACATACCACATACACACAACACACACACACACACACACACACACACACACACACACACACACAACTTCACTATAAAAGCTGAGCATTTTCTAGGAGAATAGGGAAAAAACTGTTTTTCTTTCCAAGTCAGAAGCACGGCAGCTGCTATGTAAGAGCTTAAAATGTGCACAAGCAGAATCTGAAACCTTAAACAGGCCAGCCTTAACCAGCGAGACCAGATGGCTAACTTACCCAGCATCACTTCCCTATACAGGGTCCTCTGAGCAAAACTCAATAGCTTCCACTCCTTCTGGGTGAAGGCCACAGCCACATCCCAGAAGCCCATCAGTGCCTGTAACACAAACACATCCCTGCTCACTCAAGAGCCAGCCAGGCTCACTAACCAACTTAAGCCACTAGTCAAGGCAGAAAGAAGGCAGTCCTGGGGCACCCAAGTGAGACTGTTGGATCCTGCTTTTAACCTGAAACCTGGTTCCATATGTTCAAGACTATTAATCCCCTCCATACATTGATGCTGGTTTTATTTCTGGGCTCTCTGTTCTACTGATCAAACACACAGGTTTGATCACTGCAGCCAAACAGCAGGACTTGAAATCAGGTAAACCAACTCCTCTCACTTCATTCTTCATGCTAAAAGTTGATTTAGCTATTCTAAAATAGCCTGTGCCTTTCTATGCATATTTTAGAATAATCTTGTCTATATCTCCAAAGCTCTTGCTGAAATTTTGCTAGGATTCCACTAAACCTGTATATCAATTTGGTGAGAACTTACATCTTTATTATGTTGAATCCTCAAATCCATGAACACGGTATGTCTTCTCCATTTATTTAGACAGTATACGATTTCTTTCATCAGCATTTTGTGAGTTTCAGCAAACAGACCCTACATGTTCTGTTAGATTTACACCTAAGAATTTCTTCAGCTTTCTTCTTTTCTTAGTAATTTTAATGGTACTGTATTTTAACTTCAGTGACCATATGTTCATGTTATGACGTGATACAATTGTCTGTTTTACCTTGTATACAGCAACCTGACTAAACTTACTTAGCTTTAAAAGCTTTTCTTCCCTTCATTCTTGAGATTTTCTTCATAGACAATCACGTTCTCTGCAAATAGGAACAGTTTCATTTCTTTGTTAATGATCTGTATGTCTTTTATTTCCTTTTCTTGCCTTATTACTATGGTTAGAACTTACAGCACTATGTTGAATGAGAGTGGTAAGAACAGATAAACCTTGGTTTGTTCCCAATCGTGGAAAGAAAGCAGTCTTTCACCATTAAAAATACTGTTCCATAGACAAGAATCAGAGCAGATGTTTAAAAACAAATTTTTTCTTTTTTTCCCCTCCCACCCCTTAAAAACAATTTTTAATTAAAATTAAATTAAATAAAAAAATACCGTTTCAAACATTAAAATAGCTACAACCAGAAAAAAGGAAAACATATTTTTGTGGGGTATGGAGAAATTGGAAACTTGCACACTGCTGATGGGAATATAAAACGGTACAGTTTCTACGAAAAACAGCTTGGCAGTTCCTCAAAAACTTAAACATGTAATTACCATCTGATCTAGCAATTCCACTCCTAGGTATATACCCCCCAAACTTGAAAGTAGGGACTCAAACAGATACTTGGATACCAATGTTCATAGCAGCACTGTTTACACTAGCTGGAAACAACCTGAATGTTTATCAACTGAATGAATAAAGAAAATGTGAATAAAGATGAATAAAGAAAGAAAATGTGGTATACACACAGAATGAAATATTTTTCAGCCTTAAAAAGGAGGGACATTCTGATGGATGTTTTTAGGAGCTAAGACTTGAAAATAGCCAAGTGATATAAGCCAGTCACAAAAGGACAAATATTGTCTGATTCCATTTATGTAAAGTACCTAAAACTGGCAAATTCATACAGACAAAGTAAAACAGAGGTTACCAGGGGCTGGGAGGAGAGGGGATGGGGAGTTATTGTTTAATGGATACACAATTTCTATTTGGGATGATGAAAAACTTCTGGAAAGTGGTGATGGTTGTACACCAGTGTGAACGTACTTAATGCCACTGAATTGTAAAAGGTTATAAAATAGTCAATTTTGTGTTATGTATTACTACCAAATTTTAAAAAGAATGTTGGCTGTAGATTTTTAGAAGATTCTCCTTTGTTCCTATTGTACTGAGAGTTTGTTTACAAATGGTTGTTGAATTCTGCCAAACTCATTGCATTAACTGATATAATCATGATTTTTCTTCTTTGGCCTACTGATATGACCAACATTACATGACTTAAATTTTAAAAAAAATTTTTTTAACTAAATAAAGTTTTGCTTTATGTTGTTTTATAGCCTAGAATATGTCTATCTTTGTATATGTTTTCAAAGGCACATGAAAAGAATATATATTCTGTTATTGGCTGGAATGTCTGCCATTTAAGTTTCATTTCTGGTTGTTCTCTCGGCTTTTTACCTCTTTGTTTTCTTTACAACCTTCTCATGGGCTAACCCAACCTTCTTTTTTTTTTGAGATGGAGTTTCCCTCTTGTCGTCTAGGCTGGAGTGCAATGGCACGATCTTGGCTCACCACAACCTCCACCTCCCAGGTTTAAGCGATTCTCCTGGCTCAGCCTCCCGAGTAGTTGGGATTACAGGCATGTGCCACCATGTCTGGCTAGTTTTTTTTTTTTTTTTTTTTGTATTTTTAGTAGAGACAGGGGTGTCTCTATGTTAGTCAGTCTGGTCTCGAACTTCCAACCTTAGGTGATCCAAGCATCTCAGCCTCCCAAAGTGCTGGATTACAAGCGTGAGATACTATTCCCAAACTTTTTTATAATTCTGTCTTGATTTGCCTACAGTGTTTCTTAGTGTATTTTTTTTTTTTTTGAGACAGTCTCGCTCTATCACTCAGGCTGGAGTGCAATGGCACCATCTCGGCTCACCACAACCTCCACCTTCCAGATTCAAGCGATTCTCGTGCCTCAGCCTCCTGAGTAGCTGGGATTACAGGCTCCTGCTACCACACCCAGCTAATTTTTGTGTTTTTAGTAGAGACAGCATTTCACCATGTTGGCCAGGCTGCTCTTGAACTTCCAACCTCAGGTGATCCACCTGCCTCAGCCTCTCAAAGTGCTGAAATTACAGGCATGAGCCACTGTGCCTGGCCATTGTATAGCTTTTTAAGTGGTTGCTCTAGGTGCTACATTACATAATTTATCATATAGTTCATCATAATTTACTAGTGTCATCATTTTACCAGTTTGCTTTTTTGATGTTTTTTTGAAACAGGGTCTCCCTTTGACACCTAGGCTGAAGTGCAGCAGCGTGATCATGGCTCACAGTAGCCTTAATCTCCCAGTCTAAAGCAATCCTCCCATCTCAGCCTCCTAAGTCGCTGGGACCACAGGTGTGCATCACCACACATGGCTAAATTTTTTTTTTTTTTTTTTTTTTTAGAGACAGGGGTCTTACTATGTTGCCCAGGCTGGTCTCAAACTCCTGAGCTCAAGTGATCCTCCTGCCTTACAGGGTAAGGCACCATGCCTGGCACATTTTACCAGTTTGAATACTTATATAGAACTTACCTCCCATTACATCCCCTTACTCTTTCTGTTTAAAAACTTAATTTTCCTAAGCATTTCTTCTATATACATTGAAATCCACATCAGAACATATAATAATCTTTACTCCAGCCATCAACAAGTTTAGAAAATGCATGTAGGATAGCAATGCCTACTACATTTACCCTATATGTCTTCCTTCCCATGTTCTTCTTTTCTTCCTGATTGTTTCAGGGGACCCTGCTATAAAGAACTACCTGAGACTGAGTAATTTATTTTTTTAAAAAAAAAGAGGTTTAATTGACTCACAGTTCCACAGGCTGTACAGGAAGCATGGATGGGAGGCCTCAGGAAACTTACAATCATGATGGAAGGATGAAGGGGAAGCAAGCACATCTTCACATTGTGGCAGGAGAAACAGAGAGCAAGAGAGGGAAGTGCCACACGCTTTTAAACTATTAGATCTCATGAGAACTCACTATCACAAAAACAGCATGAGGGAAACCTGTGCCACCCACGTATGTGATGGCTGTACTACCCACACATGTAATCGTGGCAAATCTGCCAGGGATGTCTTAACCAAGGGCTATGGATTTGGCTTAATAAAGCTTGATTTGAAAACAAAAGAGAAGAATGAATTGGAATTTACAACCTCAGTCTCAGCCAACACTGAGACCACTAAAGTGACAGGCAGTCTGGAAACCAAGTACAGATGGTTGAATATGGCCTGACATTTACAGAGAAATATAACACTGACAACACACGAGGCACTGAGGTTATTGTGGAAGATCAGCTTGCACATGAACTGAAACTGACCTTCAGTTCATCCGTCTCACCTAACATGGGGAAAACTTACTAAAATCAAGACAAGGTACAAGGAGGAGCACATTAACCTGGACTGAGACATGGATTCTGACATTGCTGGGCCTTCAAGCCGTGATTCTCTGGTGCTGGGTTACAAGGGCTGGCTGGCCAACTACCAGATGAATTTTTAGAATGCAAAGTCCCAAGTGACCCAGAGAAACATTGCAGTTGGCTACAAGACTGATGAATTCCAGCTTCATACTAAAGCGAATGATGGGACAGAGTTTGGCAGCTCCATTTGCCAGGAGGTGAACAAGAAGTTGGAGACTGCTGTCAATCTTGCCTGGGCAACAGGAAACAGTAACACTAGCTTGGGAATAGCAGCCAAGTATCAGATCGACGGTAACATCCACTTCTCTTCTTTAGAGTTGTTTTTTAAAGTGAACAACTCTAGCCTGAGAGGTTTAGGATACACTCAGACCCTAAAGCCAGGTATCAGACTGACATTGTCAGCTCTCCTGGATGGCAAGAATGTCAATGCTAGTGGCCACAAGCTTGGTATAGAACTGTACAATTGTTTAATTTTCAACTATTTTGCAGCATAGCAACCTTTAGAATTTAGTGTATCTTTTAATGTTGTATGTCTGGGATAAAAGTATTGCTAAATATCATGTTAGACCCCCAAGTTAAAGACAATTCAGCTTTAAAATGTTACTCTTTCAGAGGTACAGAAGAAACCCAATTCCAAAAAAGTTCCTTTTGGTGGTAGACTTTTTTCAGGGGGTACACGGTGGCCCCTCTGAGATGCCAGGTTTCTTTTTAATCTAGAAACAGCTGTAAGTGGAAATTGATAATATATAGGTACTTTGTAAATCAATATTGAGTAAATGAATGAAATTGTGATTTCCTGAGAATGGAAATTTGGTTTCCTAACCCTAATTGATGAGAGGCTCACTGCTTGATTGTGTGTACAAACTCACCTGAAAGGGATGTTTTTAGACAGAGGTTCATGACCTGTTCCCACCCCAGTTCATCGTCACCTCTTTTATGCCAAAAGGTCTGCAGGGTGGGGTCACTGTTTCTTTTCTGCCATTTTGGGATGGAAAGGATGGATGTGATGAAGCTAGTAATTCAGGACTTATTTCTTCTTGTGTTGTGTTTCTTAGTCCTTGCATCAGAGTATGAAATAGCTTCCAGGAGCTCCGGCTGTAAGCTTGGAAGTGTCTGTGTGATTGTAATCACATGGTGACAACACTCAGAATCTAAAGGGGACTTCTGTTGTATTCTCACCACCCAACTTGTTTTTTAGCAGTTTAATGGGTCTTGCATTTAGCATTTTAGAGTCTTGCATTTTGTGTGGAGTAAAATCCTCCCCTTCAAATGCTGTAGTTAATATCAGTTTTTTAAAAACTTGAAAATACTGAAACCTCAAAAAAAAAAAAAAAAAAAACCACATCAGATCTTGTGAGAACTGTCACAAAAATAGCACGGGGGAAATACACCACCATGATCCAATCACCTCCCACCAGGACCCTCCCCCAAAATTGGGAATTACAATTCAACCTGAGAGTTGGGTGAGGACACAGAGCCAAACTGGATCCCTAGGACCACTCCCAGGTTTGACAATTCACTAGAAGGACTCATAAACGTCATCATATAGTTATACTCACAGCTATAATTATTATAGTGAAAGGAAGCAAAACAAAATCAGTGAAGGGAAATGGTATGAGAGACAAAGTCTGGAGGAAACCAGACACAAAATTCCAAGAATTCTTTCTCAGCACAGTCACACATGACTCTGCAATTTCTTCAGTAATAATTTATGATACATCAAATGTTGTCTATCAGAGAAACTCATTAGAAAGTCAGTGCCCAAAGTCTTAGTGAGGCTGGTCAACAGACATCCTCTGCCTAGCACATACTAAATTCTGGATCTCATAAAGAAAGAAAGTGTTCAGCATAAACCACATTGTTTATACACTTTAGGCACAGTGTTCTGATCAGTTCTGATGAGAAGTCTATTGGCTTTCTAATTGCTTTCCTCCCATAAGTAACTAAATTTTTAACTGGCTGCTTTCAGGATGATGTTTTCATCTTTAGTCTTCAGAAGTTTACTTGTAATGTATTCTGACATGGATTTCTATTTCTTGGGTTCATCACGTTCCAAATTTACTCAGTCAGCTTTTAAAATCTGTCTCCTGCCGTATTTGGTACATTTGTAGCATTATTTCTTTAACTAATTTTTTAGCCCTTCCCTCCATTGTTTCCCCTTCCAAATTCCAAAGACATAAATATTATATCTTCTGTTGTACTCCCACAATTCTTGAGGCTCTATTCATTTTTCTTTCCACTCTATTTTCTCTCTGTTCTATCTTCTAGTTCACTCATTTCTTTGTTACCTCGAATATCCTGGGTAAGTCTATCCACTGAGCTTTTTATTTCAGTTCTAAAATTTCCATATACTTATTTTTAAAATCTTCTATTTCTTTGCTGAGGCATTCTATTCCTTTCATTTATCTCAAGCATGTTTTTTTGGCTATGGGTATCCAGTTGTCCAAGTATCTATCATTTGTATAGACTACCCTTTTCTGATGAAATGATCTTAACATCCATCCTTGTAAAAAAATCAATTGACCAATATATGTAAGGATTTTTTCAGGACTCTCAATTCTATTCCACTGATCTACACATCCATCCTTATGCCAGTATGACACTATTTTTATTATGATAGCTTTGCAGTAAGTATTAGACTCAGGCAGTGTGAGCCCTTGAACTTTGTTTTCTTTTTCAAGATTGTTTTAGCTGTTCAGGATACCATGAGATTCCATATAAATTTCAGTATGAGTCTATTTCTGGAAAAAACACCATTGGAATTTTGATCGGGATTGAACTAATTTTGATAGATCATTTTTGGTAGTATTGCCATCTTAACAATATTAAATCTTCAATTCGTTCCAAGCATGAAAAGTCTTTTCATTTATTTAGGTCTTCTGTAATTTCTTTCAGCAATATTTTGCAGTTTTCTATAAACAAGTCTTTTATCTCTGTGGTTAAATTTATCACTAAGTATTTTATTCTTTTTGATGCTGTTATAATTTTTTTAAATTTCCCATTCAGATAGATCATTGCAAATGTACAGAAATACAACAGATTTTTGTATGTTTACCTTGTATCCTGCAACTTTGCTTTTAATTCATTAGCTCTAACAATTTTCTCTGTGAATGACTGAGTACATTCCTGCAATTATTTTAAAAATTGCTGAGACGGTAATTCATAAGGACCAGAAATGTATTTTGCACACTTCTGAAGGCTGAAAGTCTAAGATCAAAGTGCCAGTAGGTTTAGTGTCTAGTGAGGGCCCAATTTCTGCTTCCAATATGGAACCTTGTTGCTATGTCTTCCACAGGGGACAAACATTGTGTCTTTACATGGCAGAAGATATGGAAGGGCAAAGAAGAGCCAAGCTAGTGTCTTCCTTTTTTTTTTTTTTTTTTTTTTTTTTTGAGACAGAGTCTTGCTCTGTTGCTCAGGCTGGAGTGCAGTGGCACAATCTGGGCTCACTGCAAGCTCTGCCTCCTGAGTTCAAGTGATTCTTCTGCCTCAGCCTCCTAAGTAGCTGGGAATATAGGCACACGCCACCACACCCAGCTGATTTTTGTATTTTTAGTAGATACGGGGTTTCATCATGTTGGCCAGGCTGGTCTTGAACTCCTGACCTCAGGTGATCCACCCGCCTTGGCCTCCCAAAGTGCTGGGATTACAGGCGTGAGCCACCGTGCCTGACCCAAACTAGTTTCTTTTAACTTTTATTTTATTTTATTTTTCGAGATGGCGTCTTACTCTGTCACCCAGTTTAGAGTGCAGTGGCGCAATCTCAGCTCACTGCAACCTTGACCTCCCAGGTTCAAGCAATTCTCCTGCCTCAGCTTCCTGAGTAGCTGGGACTACAGGCATGCAACACCACGCCGGGCTAATATTTGTATTTTTAGTAGAGACAGGGTTTTGCCATGTTGGCTAGGCTGGTCTCAAACTTCCAACCCCAGGTGATCCACCTGCCTCGACCTCCAAAAGTGCTGGGATTACAGCAATGAGCCACTGTGACCAGCCTACCTCTAATCTTTTATAAGGTCACAAATTTCAACTCATGAAGGCTTCACACACATGACAAACACTTCCTAAAGGCCCACCTCTTAAAATTTAATTGGTGATTAAATTTGAACACATGAATTTTGGGAGACACATTCATACCATAGCAGAGGACTCAGTGTTTTGTAAATATGAGATCATGCTTTCAGTGAAGAGATTATTTTATTTTTCCTAATTTGGATGCCTTTTCTTTTTGTTGCCTAATTACTCTAGCTAAAGCTGTCAGTACTATGAAATAGAAGGGGTAAAAGTGGGCATCCTTGCTCTGTTCCTGTTCCTAGGGGAAAAGGTTTTAGTCTTTCACCATTAAGAATGATGCTATTGTGAATTTTTCATACATGGCCCTTATCAGGTTAAGGGAGTTTTCCTACATACCTAGTTTACTGAGTGTTATTTATCATGAAAACGTATTTAATTCTGTCAAATGCTTTTATACATCAAATAAGATGATCGTGGGTTTTTATCCTATATCATCAATGTGGTATATTACATTACTGATTTTCATTTGTTGAACTATCCTTTCATTCTGGGAGTAAATCGCACTTGGTCATAATATAATCCTTTTAACATAGTGCTGAACCCAATTTGAGACTATTTCTGGTAAGGACTGTTTTATCTATATTCATAAAGGATATCTGGCTCTTTTCTTGTAGCATCTCTTTGGTGTCAGTGTTATGCTATCTTCATAGAATGAGTTAGGAAATATATTCTCTTCAATGTTTCAGAAGAGTTTGAGAAAGATTTTGTTAACTCTTGTTTATATGTTTGGTGGAATTAACAAGCAAAGCCATCTGGTCATGGGCTTTTCTTTCTCGGGAGAATTTTTTTTTTTCTTGAGACAGAGTCTCACTCTGTTGCCCAAGCTGGAGTGCAATGGCACAATCTCAGCTCACTGCAACCTCCACCTCCCAGGTTCAAGCCATTCTCCTGTCTCAGTCTCCTGAGTAGCTGGCATTACAGGGACCTGCCACCATGCCTGGCTAATTTTTATATTTTTAGTAGAGATGAGATTGTGCCATGTTGACCAGGATGGTCTCAAACACCTGACCTCAAGTTATTCATCCACCTTGGCCTCCCAAAGCGCTGGGGTTACAGGTGTGAGCCACCATGCCCAGCCCTTAGGAGGATTTTTATTACTAATTCAATATGCTTACTAGAGTCCTAATTTATTTATTTATTTATTTATTTATTTTTGAGAAAGAGTCTCACTCTGTTACCCAGGCTGGAGTGCAGTGGCATGATCTCGGCTCACCACAACCTCCAGCTTCTGGGTTCAAGGGATACTCTTGACTCAGCCTCCTGAGTAGCTGGGATTACAGGCACACACCACCATGCCTGGCTAATTTTTGTATTTTTAGTAGAGACAGGGTTTCACCCCATTAGTCAGGCTGATCTCCAACTGCTGACCTCCTGACCTGCCCGCCTCAGCCTCCCAATGTGCTGGGATTACAGGTGTGAG